GCTGAGATGTCTGTGAAAAATGTGGCTGTCTTGGAAGATATGCACTATTTTGAGGTTGCAGACCTCCTATTCCCTTCAAAAAAAAATATATATATTTCAATTTACTCACATTTTAGTTGACATAATAAGAGCTCTAATACTTGTGTGGCTGGTAGTAGAATGATGAAAAGCAAGCCTGTGTAGTAACAAGCATTATATAGAAATATGTTTACCTGTTGAGGAGCATATTGGTGCATTTTTTGTTGATGTTCATAACTATGTCTATATCCAGGTGTGATAGGTGAATATCTGTTTGCTCCTGGTGCAGAAGACCAAACTCCCATGTCTCCAATACCTGAAAATTATGTCATTTATATATATACACAAAATACCTGAGGGATTATAGTACCAATTGTTGTTGAGCTAATTACATTACAATTACCTTGTTCAGACATTGAATACATTGGATCAGGTCCAGGGTGGTATCCTGGATAGGCATGTGATGGGTGAACATGGTGGGAAGGATGTATGGGGCCATGAGGTGGTTGAGGTAATCGGGGCCGTGGAGGGTATCCACTGTATTCATGATAGTCTGGGGTTGGGGGAACAGCACCAGGATTAGGCACAGGTTGTGAGCTATTTGGTATCCCACCCGACCCTCCACCTCCAAACGAAGCCAGCTTTTGCACTGATCCTTCTTGAGCCACGGTGTTAGAACTGTATGGTTGTCTGTAACTAAAAGAGCAAATTGCTTGAAAATAATAAATAGGAAATTAGGTAGAAGTTTTTACTATGCACAATAAAATTTTAGTTACCTATTCTCTGAAGTTTCTTTGTTTTCACTAGTTACACCACTTGAAGGGTTTGAAAAGTTATCAGAACCACCAAGGTCAGTAAGTTCTTCCAACATACCGCTGCCATCATCACCAAATAAGTTGTATGAGTCCATCACTCCTTAAGAGTGAATTAATATAATGTTATGTTCACGTACCCAAAGGGATTTAACAGCGCCCATTTTAATCTGAAAATTAAAGAGTAATACAAATGTACTATAATGTAATATATAAATGTGAAATAAAAAGAAGAATATCAAGTTTGTAAGTTACGAAAATACTCATTCTTTTAAAACTGGCTTTAAAAATTTTTTTGTATGTTTACATTTACATGGCTTTATTTCCTGGTTGCTTATTGTAGGCTTGGAGGTGGACTCTGGTTGTGGACTGGGTTTCATATATTTTTTTATCTCTAGCTGAGTTTACATTTCAAGGATCATTATGATCACTTATCAGTCATAGAACCCAACTTGCCATAAAATACTTGTGGTGGTGTCCAAATGCCTTGGGTTGTCACTCTACAGGGAGGGGGCAGATGATTGGCCATGCATGGCATTTATGAAGGAGTTCTCATTGTGCTGACTGGTCAGACATGAATTCTACCACTATTCACCTTGATTGTTTTTATATTTGCTTACAAGTTATTCTTTTCACTAATGTAAGTAAGTGCATGTTACTTATAACCATATGCTACATATAAAACAAAAATTGTGGTGGTTAAAAAGAATAGCGGAGAATATATTGCCATGTATTAGTCTTAGTTATAATTAGTTATTGATAACTAACTATAACTATTATAAGTGAACATTATGTCACTAATATGAAAAAATAAGATTTATTTTTTTATTTTTCTTTAACATTTTAACCTCATGAAAATAAAGACATATTTTCAAAAAGAACTGCTTGGGTTGGCCCACTCTCTAATAGATTGGTGCTATTGAAGAGATGATCCCTATAATTCAAAATACTCATTTTTATTGTGTTAAGAATATAAATATGACTAAAACAAAAATAAGGCACAATGATTAGTTTTTTATTATTTTTTTATAATCACATAAATAATTAAATCTATTTTTGTAGGTTGATCTCTTTTTAAGAAACCTTACCATTACAAGATGACACCTTCAATCACCATCAGATGCTATTGTTTATAAAACTAAGGGGAAAAGCTATACGCTTATGGTGATCAAATAACATACAGCGCTACAACTTTTCCCTTTTAGCTTTAAAACACATTTCAGTTGCAAGATAAAATAATTTCAGTTATACCACACAATTATACTGGTGAAGCTACTTTAAAAATAATAGGATTAAACTGGACAATTTTTGTTTGTTATTTATTTAATTTAAAAATATAGTATAGATATTATATAGGTTTAAAGTCTAGACAACAAGCTAATACAATATAAACAATAGAAATGTACAAAATGGGAACAATAGTAAATACTTACATAAAATTTACTAGAACCGAAATGGCACAGCCATATTTAAAAGTACATCGAGAAATAATAAATCAGGTAATTACTTACAGTAATATTTCTTAATTATACTTATATCTTAAGAAAAATAAAGGCTTATCCTTGCGGAATAGCAAATAAAGAAATTTGTACTCACAATAAGCGCCATACAACACGAATGATCACAAAATGGATACCATCCCCAAAGCGACCGATTTAAACAATTACATAAAATGAAAGTCTAGATTAAACTTAATAAAGCACACCAATAGTACTAGATAATTAACGTAACTAATGTTAAGACTCAATTACAAGATCATGTAAAATATCGCTTAGTTAGTCAAATAGCTAACACACTCAACACTACGCTCCGTCCATTTTGTTTCTTTAAAATCTTTTGAGCGTTTCAACTTTCAGGCTTCAAACTTATATCCTATACTCTATAGTGAAGTTCAGTCGTGACTCGTGTTCTCACAGAGCAAATAAAGCATGGTATCATAAATATTGTACAGATAATTTAATGACTAAAATTAGATGTCACGCCTTCTTAATTTCATTGCCCCTAAACTAAAACGACTATTATTCAACATATATGAATAAAATTAATTAATGAAGAATATGTCTAAATCAAATATACTGCGGTTATGATTTTTAAGTTATAACATTGCCTCACATAGCATATGATCTCAAATAAAAACGCTGTTTGTCATCCCCTTCTCGATTATGCTGACTATTCCTCTTCCGACATGAACGAGGATCTACCAAATAAGCTGGAGCACTTACAACATTTTTGAATACCATTTGTATAATAATGTGACCATAGTTCTATTTAGTAGAAGCAGTTAGGGTTCGGCCTATTAGCCTTTAAGACATCAGCGCGACGCAGATGTTCTTTATTATAAGTCAGGGAGGTCAGATAACTGACACTATGAAACTGTGCATAGTCAAAGCTGATGCAGAGTCTCAGTGGGATCACTTCTTGCTCTCTGGGGTGTGCTTCCTGTCGAAATACTGAGATATGCTTTAACTACAACCGCAGGGCGGGGTTTAAAAAGGTTACATTAATCAGTCCTAGCTGTTCACGTCCACGTAGTCAATGCTGCCCCCATCTTTCTCAAGTGAGTGCCACTCTCATAACTTCTCGGGATGCAATAGCCAAAACAGCAGGGCAAGGGAGATTGTCTGATACCGTACAACCAGATCAAACAGAAAAGGGACCGAACTCGAAATTAAAATGTCTAGATTCCGATGGGCACATCACCTGTCCAGTTAAAAACTATCCAATTATTAAACCTCAAGTATACACATCGGACAATAATATAATTGGCCAATATGGTTTCCGTCCTCTCTGACACAGATCCTCTACGAACCAAGTTTTTGCACTCAGGTCGACATGAGGAAAGTTGGTGGAATTCAGAATACCCACATACCAAATATTTATAGAGTTCAAAACAGCTTATTTTTGCGTTTTAGGTACGTCCTGAACGTTACGAGGCAATGGCTGAATTCAATATTACCCTAAATCTTATACGGCTGACTAATATGACAATAGCTAATACCAGTGCTTACTTATGGTTCTGAAACCTGGGCCCTCAGCAAGAGGAATGAGCTTGCTCTTCTTATTTTGGAGTGTAAGATCCTTCGAATACAATCTCGTTTAACAAAGAACTTTACAACATTCTTGACGACTGCAACATCGTCCAATTCATAAAATGCAACAGCATAACAGAAACTGTGTAAGCAAATCTCTAACTCTGTTCTAAATTCTGGCTTCTTCGCTATCATCCGTCTATATAAGTACATCGTTTCCACATCGTATTCCTCTGTACAACTCGCTGTCATTACTGTCATTGTTAATAATCATGTTTTTTTTTACATTTGCTTTTTTCTTCTCTCAATTGGTAAGTATATTATATATTATTCATCTTCATAAGCTTTCGGCAATATTTTAAAACTTTAATTCATAGAAGTTATATTTAAATAACAAAATAAGTCAAAACGTCAGACAAACGTTGGAAATAATATCAACCACGAATGAGATGTGTGATCAGCTGTGATGATGGCAACAGAAACCAGAGTGGGGACGGAGTTACAGTCTACAGAGTAATAGATAGAGAAATAGTGAGAGAGGAATACAAACGCGGAGAGGGATATACAAGACATCACGCAGCTGAATTAATCTTTATCGACGAACTTTTGTTACGTCGGGTTGTGGAATGTGGAATTCGTCATATTTGGTGGAGGTACTTAACCGGGTACAAGTGATCCCCCTGTATATTAATCTGCCAAGCTTAAGTAAATCCCGAAATTCCCGCCGAGTTCCCCTACTAATAGAAACCGTACGGAAATTTAAGCTTCGCCTAGCACATGAAAAGTAAATGACGTAATGACGCCTTCGGCCATTACAGTTAACACTTAAAACTACAGAGTACATTAATAAAATTTAGAAATTTTTAACCTTCAACCGACAACCACTGCCATCTACTGCGAACGGTGCTTAATAGTTAATACTTAATACCGCTAAATGCTAATAAAATACACATGTATAATGATGCATGTAGTGTTAATATAATGGTAAAGACTATAGTGTTTGACGTTTGTACACTTTACAATTTGGCTAACAGTGTTTTGTTAAAAAGTTATTATTTTAATTTTATGTATTACAACGAAGCATTAAAACAATCAAGTAAAATAACTGTATAGCCCAATATTTTAATTATAATATCCGAGAATGATAAAGTTAGTGGATCCAGTGGTTCGAAGTTTTAAAGTGGCGAAGGTGTTTCGTGAAAATACTGACAAAATAAACAGCATTGACTTTTCCCCGAGTGGTGAAACTCTTATATCGTGTAGTGAAGATGACCAGATAGTTATATATGATTGTGAAAAGGGCACCCAAATGATAACTGTAAACAGCAAAAAATATGGAGTTGACTTGATACATTTTACGCACGCCAAGAACACAGCTATACACAGTTCTACCAAAGTAGATGACACCATCAGGTATTTGTCTCTTCATGATAACAAATATATTCGATATTTTCCAGGACATACTAAAAAGGTTGTTACTCTTTGCTTATCTCCAGTAGAGGATACATTCCTTTCTGGTTCGTTAGACAAAACCTTACGTCTTTGGGATTTACGGTCTCCAAATTGCCAAGGTCTCATGCATCTTTCAGGAAGACCCGTAGCTGCTTATGATCCCGAAGGATTAATATTTGCTGCTGGTGTAAACTCAGAAAGTATAAAATTGTATGACTTGAGATCTTTTGACAAAGGTCCTTTTGTTACATTCAAATTGAATCATGAGAAAGAATGTGATTGGACAGGATTGAAATTTTCGAGAGATGGAAAAACCATGCTTATAAGTACAAATGGTTCAATAATTAGATTAGTTGATGCATATCATGGAACTCCATTGCAGACATTTACAGGGCACCTTAATAACAAAGGTATACCAATAGAAGCATCATTTAGTCCTGATTCACAATATATTTTCAGTGGTTCAACTGATGGAAGAGTTCATGTTTGGAATGCTGATACTGGATACAAAGTATGTGTTCTTAATGGGGATCATCCAGCACCCATACAATGTGTTCAGTTTAACCCTAAATACATGCTTCTAGCTTCTGCATGCACAAATATGGCATTTTGGTTACCAACAATAGATGATGTTTAGTCTTAATCTTAAAATAGTCTTACAATACTAGTATTGTGAGTAAGAATATACCAATAATGGAGTTATTCAATGCCAATCTTACGTCTCATTAATATTCCATATGGCATAATAAGCTATTGTTTCTGCTACAGGCAGTAATAGGATCTTAGAGCCCTCTATAGTCAAGAATATGTACATTATTAATATAAATAATGTTTTGCGGCATACTATATTGTGTAATTAATGTGTCAAACAGAAATGAGATGAATCAAAATTAATTCCTCTAGCATCTGACCATTTCAGTCAGACAATAACTTTAAAGTAGTTAAATGACATATTTTGGTTTAAATTTTTATAAAAAATAAAGATCTAACTGATAAATTTATACTTTTATTTCTCCTCTAACTTTATATTTTCCTATATATATATATAACAGCAGTAAGCTGGTAATTGGTAAAGATTTTATAATTAATTTGTATGGAATACATTTTAATTATGCACTATACCTACCAAAGAGAAGATAAGAATAATGTCAATTAAAAAGCCATATTTTATAATAATTTAATTAACTTTTAAACAAATAAAAAATATTAATACCTATAATATGATTTTTAGTTAATCTTAAATTTATCAATTGTGGACCCATCATACTTTATTATATGTATGCCTGCCTACTTCATGCAAATTTAGAGATTGGAATTACAGTTTTTGTAAATTTAATTCTCTTTATTTCAACTGATTTTTTTATGTTGGTACCAACATAGGATTGAAATTAGACTAATGGGATCTTCAGACACTATAATTATATAAATAAACTAGCAGACCGGCCAAGCGTTGCTGTGGCTCAGGTTTTTGTTATATTACATAGTAGCAAACTATTCAAGGGAAACGGTAGAACACCAGTCATGGGGACCACCATGCTGTTTTGGTGGTTATGCCATTAAATTGTAGCTTATGTGAAACGTTGGTACTTTCAACACAGCGCCATCTGTTAGAATTGTGACTATCAAATAATAAACAAATATTTTGCAACAAAATAATATTGCGGGTATAAATTGAGATGTAAGCTATCCTATGTTTTAAGTTGGATCACACCGTGTGTGCAAGTTTGATTGAAATCGGTTCAGTAGTTTAGGAGTCCATAGCGGACAAACAACGTGACACGTAATTTATATATATTAAGATTATCATTTAACACCTTAATTTCTTTTTGTAATACATGAACAACCAATAAAAAATAATTAAGACTTTTCCTTGAAACATCATCCATCTCTAGAAAAGAGACACACAATTTTATACAGAAATAATTACATATATTTTTTCCAAGGACCTCTTATTGGCTTTTAATGTGGGACATTGTGAAGTGTGAACTAGGATGTAGATTATAGGTATGTAAGCCGAAATGGTCACAGGTCAGGCGCCATAAATCTAGTGTATCCTATGTATCACACACAATAAATAACCCGCTTATTATATACTTTATACTCCTAAATTATGTTTATTTAACATCGTATTTTGGCGGTTCTTGGCGGAACAATGTATCTAAATGCTGAATAGTATCTTATAAATTAGTTTACATCACTATCGCCTCGAATAACTTTATTCATGTTCAGTTCACAATAACTATAAGGTAAAAAAGACTAGTTTTTTTTATTTTTGTAAAATTATGAAAAATAGCCAGACTAAAAAATATAAATTTTCAAGAATGTATTTCGTAATATTACATACAAGTCTTTCAGCCAGAAGAATTCAGGAAATATTTTTATAAATGTCTATATTGATAATGTTCCGAATTTCTACTTTTTCATGATACAATGTATATTATTATCTCATTGTACTATGTGATAAAATTATTAATTTTAGTAACTTCACATATTCTTTCTAGTCTGTGGTATCCTGCAACTTGCAAGTTCGAAATGACTAAAGCCCTTCTCCCATTACGATACTTGTAGGGTACGATACTCGAGTATAATACTAGTTGGATACATGTTCGCTACGCGACGCTCGCATATTATGCTACTGAAAAATTACTAAATTCATCATTTGTGCAAACTTGTTTTTTGTAGACGGACGTTATGTCGAGCGACTCCAGTGACGAAGAAGCTCTTGCAGTTTTTCTGTTTTATAGAAATAGAAGACGTCAACGCAAGAGTAGAGTATTTTCTATATTCGATTCATCCATATATTGAAAGAAACATAAATTGTAGAGTTTTTGTAGCCGCACAAGAACTACAACATGATGATAAGAAATTTTTATCTTTCTACCGAATGTCTTAAGAGACCTACTTGCATCTTGTTACATTATTAAAACCAGCTATACATCAACGAAATACTAAATTTAGAGAATGTGTCAGTGCGGAAGAAAGGATTCTGATAACCCTAAGGTAAATAATACTTCATTGTGACATATTATGTAGGTAATTAAATGTTTATTAAATTTTAATATGTAAGTACTTTATAATTATTACTTATTCTTCATCTTCCTGTGATAATAACATAGGTATTGATTCATAATAAAGACTGGCAGTATTTGATTGTACTACATTCAGACTTTCGTTTATGGTAATTGGCGTACTTATTACCTCGGCAGCACTCATCGGTGAAGGAGTAGAATAAAGTGTGATGGGACTATTCATATTTTCACTACTTTGGTCCATTATATCGTCTATCAATGCAAGCACTCTTCTCTTAAACAGTCTTCTTTGACTATCAGTCATTTTGTTCACGTCCGATAGTAAACTCAGTAAGAACGTTTGAATTTTCAGTACTGTCACAGTTTTCTAGAATTTTAGATTGTTTAAATTTAAAATAATCTGAAATGTCTTGCTCGGCTTGAGTTTCTTCCAGCTTCTTCCGTTTTTTTTTATTATTTGTTGATGGTGGTGGTGGTGGTAATTGCTGTTGCGAGATTGGTTGAGTGCTTGTAGGTACATTTTCTGTGAACTGTGTTTGTTCACATAGTTCAAGATCAGGTGTCTGTGGTTCTATCGTCTCTTTCAAATTTCCTGATGGTTTTCCTGCTGTTTTTATGAAGGGTACAGTAAATTGCATATAGTCTGCTAAGTAGTATGGTTTTTTTTGTGCAGTACCTGCTCCACTTTTGGCCGGTTTCAAGTGGCGAACAAAAACACTACGTAGATTTTTCCACTTTTCTTTAGCTTCTGATCCTGAAAATAACCTTAATATTAATTGTTTTTCAGATATTTGGGGTCAGGTTGTACGTTTGTAAGCCTAGGATTGTATTTTGCAAGAGGAGATAATACAATTTGCAAGGTCATAGCTGAAATGACAGTTATAATATGGGAGATATTAAATGGAGACTATATGCAATTACCAGATGTGCAACATTGGAAAGACATTGCTGTTCGTTTTGATCGCCTCTGGAATTTACCCAACTGCTTAGGGGCATGTGATGGTAAACACATCAGAATAGAAAAATTACCTGATTCAGGATCAAGTAATTTTAATTACAAATCCTACCATTCGATAGTATTAATGGCATGTTGTGATTCCGATGGATTATTTACTGTTATCGAGACTGGCTATGCGGGTAGGAACAGCGACGGTGGAATTTTCAGTGCTTCCAGGATCAAACGTTGGATAGAACATGGACGTCTTAATATTCCTTTACCTTCCAAACTTCCTAATGACCAATCTAACTATGAATTTCCATACTATTTTATTGGGGATGAGGCATTTCCCCTTCTATCTTACTTGATGAGACCATATCCCCAAAGAACCTTGAATGACTTGAGAAGGGTATTTAACTACAGACTAAGCCGAGGGAGGAATACAATTGAATGTGCTTTTGGGATGATGGCTGAAAAATTTCAAGTATTAAGTACTGCTATAAGATGTCATACAATAGAAAAAGTATCAAATATAATAAAAGCAGTGTGTATTTTACACAACTATGTTCGAAAACGTGAGGGTATTCTATATAGTCCAAGGGAGTTTATACAAAACAGATCGGTCACTATTCCCGTTACAACGACAATACAACCTCATAATATAGAAATAACGGCAAATATGTCACCACATAATCAACGAAATTATTTAGCAAACTACTTTATATCTGAGCAAGGTTCATTGCCTTGGCAATACCAATCCTGTTTGCAGAATACAATGTAACATTGATAATAATAAACTATGTATGTGTACAAAAAAAACCAACCTGTTATTTGAAATTTGTTCCCAATTTCTGCCCAAGTCTTGTCTATTATATTTTTTCGCATGTATTCAGGTAGTTTGTAGTTATATAAACAAGCATGTTTTTCAATTTCTTGTACAAACTTAATATTTGTTTCTTGCTCCGCCGCCATCTTGTCGAAACGCGCGAGACGCGACGCACAAGCGACCAACACGGCGGGTATCGCGAGACTAGTCGCGAACGCGTAGAATACCAGTATCGTAATGTGAGAGTGTCCATATAAATGTATGTGAGATACTTCGCGGCGACTAGTCTCCGAGACTAGAGTCGCGCGGGCGTATCGTAATGGGAGAAGGGCCAAACACGTCACAAGTCACAACGCACAAATTCACAATTGAAATCGTGTATAGAATCCAATTTAAACTTTGATTACAATAACTTAATTTATATTAAATAGTAAATACTTAGGAAATTATTAAAATATTTAATATGGAATGGTAATTTCTGTTATAAATGTTAGTTAATACTTAAAACCTTTCACAGATATAAATTTTTACAGTTATTACCTATTAAAATAGTGGGTAAATTATAAAAATGGATACCCGAGCTGAAAAATTATCCAAGGCTCGTAGGAAGGTAAGGGTAGCTAAGGCCTAAGTGTATAAAATATTTCTATTGACGAAACATAATGTATTTTTATTACTATTTCATTTACAGTTAAAGGATCACCAAGAAAAGAAGACGCATAAAGAGCATAATGATACAGTACAGTACAGTGAAAAAAATGAACCAACTCATATGGTCCAAAATATTCCTAGCACTGCAATATACCCCTTAGAATTTACAATAGAACCAACATCTGCTAGTGATGAAAACAAAAGTATTGTTTCTGAATCATTTCAAACAAATACCATTAAAATAGACAGTAATTTACATAATGAAAAAGTAAATGAATATTTCATTTACAATCAAAATTCTTTAGAAAATGAAGTAAGAGCTTTACAACAGAAATTATCTGCATATGAAACTATGTATGCAGATGAAAAGGCTAATCACCACATATCTAAACAAAATATATCTACACTTGAGTGGGAAATTAAGAATTGTAAGGATAACTTATTAATATTAAATCAAGATTCAAATAAAAAAGATGAAGTTATTTTGGAGTTAACAACCTATAATCAGACTTTAAGGACTGAAAATAATAATTTATTGGAACAGTTAGAATTAACCAAGTCAATAATTTCTTCTAAAGAGTCAGACAATGCTCATCTTCTGAACCAAGTCAATTTATATTTAAATCAGTTGGAAGTTACTCAACTGCAGTTGCAGCAATTATCTAGTGATGCTACAGTTAATGTTAACAGCAACTCAAATAAAGAGGAGTTGGAGCAATTACATCAAAAAATTGACACGTTAAACAAAAAAATCACAAGTCTTCAACAAGAAAAAGATAATATAGTATCACACTATCAACATTACCTAACAGATTTAAAAGAACAACTTAATACTAGTAAACTGAAAAATGAGCAGTTATCAAAGGAAGTTGAAATGCTTTCTGACCGCGAGAGTGGCCTCATTGAGCAAATAGGGGATATGGAGATACGAATGCAGAAGTTTAACAAAAAAGATTATGAGATGGAAACACAAGTTGATACATCTGAATTGCAAAAGCAACTACTATTGCTACAGGTTTGTAAACTTTTACTGAGAGTAATAAAGGCAGAGTCTGTTGTCACTTCACTAGCATTTTACAGTACTTCACTTTTTGCTTAGTTGTAATTTTATGTATATACTGTAATGTTATAGTTTTATATTGTTTATTTGTATTAATGTAAATTAGTACATTAACCAATAATGTACCTATTTCATGCATTATACTGTGTATACTGGTGTTTGTACTACTTGGTGTTTACAGAAAGATTTGGAAGTAAATAAAAAACAATATAAGGAACTTTTTGATCAGTATCAAGCTAGTGTTATAAAAATAGAAGAGCTTCAAGAAAATAAGTTGCGTGACAATCAGGAGACAATAAGTGTAGCGAAACTTACTGCAGACATGACCAGTGATAAAATAGCAGCCCAAAGAGCTACTGAGCAGAATCTTAAATTAAAAACTGATATCAAAGATCTTGAAGAGGTTGTTATTAAAATGGTGAGTTAATTAAAATAAAGCTCCTGAACTATATAATTTTTAGGTAATAAATTTAAGTTTATACCTAGGAAGTTTCTATTAAGTAAGTATCTATCTCTATTTATTTAAGGCTGCAACCAATAAATATGTTAAATTATCTAATAATATTTTCTTTTCAGACAAAAGACAAACTAGAGTTAACTGAAATTTTAACTCATGAGAAAAGTTTAAGTAAAGAGCTTATGTTAAAACTGGCTGATATTGAAGAAAAAGGCAAGAGTATGCAAAATAATCTAAAGGCAAAAGATGAAGAAATGATAAGACTTCAAAGTGAATGGCGAGAACTTGCAAAGAAATACAATGACTCTTTACAAAAACAATCAGTAGCATCTGTAGGTGCAGAATCACCTGTAGAGAGTAATAATCATACTCAACATGTAAATGAATCAAGTCCCATAGAAGATAATAATAATGGTTTTAGTTCACCAACTGAGTCATTGAAATCAGTTAATGTGAATCCACATATTGACACACTTTGTGAAGTAAGTAATCGTATTCCTAAAGAAGATGCTATGTGCAAACTTCAAGAACGGTTTATGTGCATAATGGATGAAGTTGCTAATCTGTCTGATGAAAAACATAGATTAGAACATATTATACTTCAGCTACAGAACGAAACTGATACTATATGTGAATATGTTGCACTCTACCAACAACAGAGAAGTTTGTTGAAGAAGAGAGATGAAGATAGAATTCATCAACTCGAAATTTTTGAGAAGGAATGTAATGAGTTAAGGGATCTTTTAGGTGAACTGCGAGAACTTTTATTCAGATTGGCTGAGGATAAAGAAATATCGGGTTATTTGAAAACAGAGTCAAGGTTAAATGACATGGCGAGAATTCGAGAACTCCTGGAAGATTTGCAAAATAGTTCATTACTAAATAAGAAGTTTAAGACAATGGATTTGAGCAACTTTTATCCCTGTAGCTGTTGTTCAGGAAAACTTATAGAAGTTTAAAGTAGTAATTAACCATAAATAGTATTAAAATATGTAAGTTAATCAATATATTATTTATTAAAATAATTGAGTCAAAATTTAATTCCATTAATGATATTGGTTAGCTTGTGTTTAAACATTATACATTAATATAAATAATGTATAATGTTTTTAATGATTATTATCAAATATTACATAAACTTTTGATAGTATTGATATGTGTTTATCGAAATTGTTAATATTTATATTACATTTATAAAATATGCATCAACACAGTGGCGTAACAATAGGGTGGCAGGTGGTAAAATGACATGGGCCCCCGACCCAAGAGAGCCCCTGCCCAAGAGATATTATGTTCTATAAATGAATGTGAAGTCTCTAATACGTATTGGGCTAGTGTGGAGACTACAGACCATTCCCTTTCGCCTAAGAGAGGAGGCCTATGCCCATTAGTGGTACATAGTGTAATTGAGTTCGCTGAAAATCTCGAAGTTTATTAAAATTAAACTGAGTAGAGACGATTTTTACTGATAGGGCCCCATCAAAACAATTGCCACGAAAGATTTGCCACGGGCCCCAGATGGTATAGTTACGCCACTGCATCAACATATTGAATAATATATACTTGTAGTAGTATACATAAACCAGTAATCAGGTATTTTTAGGAAAGAAGTAAAAAAAATACCAGTAAGCCCCATAACAATGTTTCTTCTATTCCTGAGTTCATTCTTAGTATTTTAAAATAGAGATAACTTGTTTAAAAAATATAGTTGTTATTTCGTATTAAAGCACTACACAGTGGCGGATTAATAGGCCGGGAGATAGTGACACAAAATAGTTAGTCATTTGTACCAGTATACCAAATATGTTCAAAAATGCAATACTGGTACAAATCGTTTGGCAAAAATAAAAAAAATGATTATTTTTCGGCGGTATGGCGGCCATTTGGAACCATCCGAAAAGTATGGCATGGTGATTTTGGTAAATGATTGCACGACGATGATTAACTGTGCAAAAATTAGCCTGGTACAAATGGTTAAACAATTTTTTTAATCATCGCATTCGCGTCGGTATGGCGGGCTGTAAGTCACACCGGAGAAGTATGGCATGACAATGCTTATATCGGAAAATACTAGAATTTTTGGGGAACAAATCGTTAAGTCGTAAATAATCCGACGAGTTCGACTAACGCCCACGCGCTTGGGCCTCCGGTACCAGCGCTATGACCATCAATTTTTTTTAATTTCGTAATTAGTCCCCTATAGAACCGCCATACTGATACAAATGACTAACTATTTTGTGTCACTATCTCCCGGCCTATAACACATCAGCCGCCAGTAGGCTATTCAAATTTTGCCGCCCCTTCTGACCTCTGCATTTCGATACCCTACACGTACAAAAAACGGTGGACGAAAATATTTTAGAATTAAAAGACTAAATAATGATTCTTTGTATTTAAAAAATTCATATCTGTAAAAAATTAAGAACTGATTACAGTCATTCTAAACCTGTCCAGTAATTTTTTTAAACTAATAACATTTATTCTGAACCAGTTTAGTAAATTTTCTGAGCTACCTACTAAATAATGTAATCCATGAAATCAATAAATACTAACAGCAGCATACGAATCTCTAGTAAGCAAGATACTGATTGACAATTGGATTCCAAAATAACACAGTTTCTAAACAATTCGTCAAATACTCATCACAATTAGGTATTAAAGTATATTTTAAGAATACTAATTGTACTAATTTTTGATAAATGGTTGACAAAAAAAGATGAATAGTTTGT